CTTTGGCTATCCCAAGAGAATTATATTCTCACTGTGTTGAAAAGGTTTAACATGGATGAAGCACGATCGATTTCTACTCCTGTTTGGTGGAAATTTTGCAATAAGAAAATGAAAGAATTCTATTTGATTTGTATTCTCTCAATCTTGATTATAATTTGAATTCTCGATTACAAAAGAGAAAAGAATTGATACAAATCCTCCCCTTTATTTAAAACTGGGTTCTTCACGGTGACAATGAGATTCTTCCCTCGAATGCTCGTGTCGAGTTTGCTTCTCGTTGATGATCCGAACATCTTGTTTCACTGGAACATGGTCTTCTCCTCATAATACGACACTGTGGAGAACTTGCGTGGTAAATTTTTAAGAACTATTGATGAGTTGATAACTCTAAACAAGTTTGAAACTCTATAAAACAGTTAATTTAACTAAAATCGGTTTGTAAGCCAAGGATGAAGAAAGCTCATGTTTCTGATCTCCAAAGCTCCATCAATTCCCCCAAAAAGCCAGCCAAAAATCTTTTCTTTGCTGTCAAGTCGAGGAGTCCGAACTCAGTTGAGTTTACCCATATTTATAGAGGTTTTAGGGGTGTAACCGCCCCCTAAAATCTCTCCTTAATGGGGTGTAACCGACCCTATTTTGTGGAAAACGGTTTTAAAACCGTTTAAGGGTTTAAGGGGTGTAACCAACCCTAAAATCTCTCCTGGGTGGAGTTGTGATCCCCTTAGATCGTGGGAAATGGTTTTTGAAACCGTTTGAATGAGTCAAATGCGGAGAATAGCGTTCTGGGCCCGAACTCTGCGTTTTAGACTTGAAACGCAGAGTTGGACCTATTTTGGTGGCTGAGAACGCAAAGGTCGCACTGCGTTTTGATATTATAACACAGGTCCGACCCGTGTGTTTTGATGTTACACAATGGGTCTGACCCGTGCATTTTGATGTTGCAACGCAGGTCCGACCCGTGCGTTTTGTTCTGGGAATGTGGCCACGAACTCTGTGTCTGGACTTAACACTGGGGATGAACCCTACGTTTTGATATTGTAACACAGAGATGACCTCTACGTTTTGATGTTACAACATAGGGAGGACCTCTGCATTTTAAGGTTGTAACGTAGGGAGGACCTCTGTGTTTTGAGTTTGAGACGCAGATGTGAGCTCTACGTCTTGATTTGAAGAGACCGTCAATTTGTAGTCTCTTTTGCTAGAGCATTACAAAGATCATCATCTTATAACCTTCTGTAGGCGTCTAAAAATGCCTATGGGTGTCCGTACACGGCTCGAGACAGAGAGAAGATGATAAACATCGCTATTAGAGTCGCGGGAGCTCGTACCTGTAGGCGTCTAAAAATACCTATGGGTGTCCGTACACGACTCGAGACAGAGAGAAGATGATAAACATCGCTATTAGAGTCGCAGGAGCTCGTTTGACAATGACAAACACATGAAGTGAGTCGACGGGTCATACGAAGCAACGGAACTTCGGAATAACAGAAACGAGAGCTGATCGGGAGCCCCGCGTCGTTTACAAAAGGCGGAGCACCCCTCGTTTCCTATTTATTCCACATATGATTCAATTATGGGAGCGTGTAGATCTCCTCGTCGGCTTTCCAACGCATCTTGAATCGCCTCATTCCGAGGTCGGATGAGTGAGTTAAGGCTGTTACAGAGAAAATCGCTACAGTAACCACGGGTCAGAAAATTGCTACAGTAACCGTGGGTCGGAATTTTTCGGCCCGCGCTACAGTAACCGCGGGTTGGAATTTTTCGACCCGCGCTACAGTAACCGCGGGTCGGAATTTTTCGACCCGCGCTACAGTAACCGCGGGTCGGAATTTTCCTGCGCGCGCTGTTTCGACCCTGGTTCGATTTTTGACGGTTTTTCTCGGGATTTGGTCGTTCCTGAGCATCCAAACTGACTTGATATCATCCCCTAGCATGGTTAATCAGTTATTAACTGAAGATAAGGCCAAATCACTTGTTCTCATCCAAATAACCGCTTCCGAAGCTTATAAATATGAGCCCGGGTCCTCCTTTCAGCGGGGCGGAGTGATTATCAAGAGGACGAAGTGCTGCCGGATTGAGGAGTCAAAGGAGCATGAATTTCAGCGAGGATTGACAGATCTTGGCGAGTTCTTCGGCATAAAGAAGGAGAGTTCGAGAGATCCGAAGCCTGTTTCCTCCGTTCCTTGAGATCAGGCTTGGTCTTGATCTCGAGAAGAGCCCTGATTTCGCTTGGTCGATCTCAGCGCTTCAAATCAAATACTTCCTCGGTAAAGACGAAGCTCTGCCGAATTTTTCATCAACCGGATCCAGATCAAAGGCGGTCCACGGATAAACCCCGACACAGGCAAAGATCCCACGCAAGCAGAAGACCGATAAACGATCTCCGTGCGTTTGTTTTGAACGAGAGTTGTATTTTTTTTTTTTATTGTGTAAGAGTCTTATAAAAAGACCATCTTTTTGTATTCTCATTGTAACGACCGAAGTTGTAATGAATAGCGCAATGAATATAACAATTTTCGACGGAAACACCTTCGTCTTGGCTCCTTGAAAATATGAGAGTCGTCAGATTATAACTCTTGATGTTGATTGTGAAGGTTGTTGATTAGAGCTTTCATCAGTTGTTGTGAAGATCGTTAGATTATAACCTTCATCGATCTACATGAAAGTCTTCAAATTGTAACCTTCTAAAAGTCGTCAGATTATAACTTCCATCATCGGTGTTTGATGGGGATAAGCTATAATCTGTAGTAATTTTTAGACGGCCTACAACTCCGTTAACCAATCACTTCAAATTATTCTTAGAACAGTGTCCACAAACAGTTGAAGAGCAGGAAAAAAATATAATGGATACCATATGCGAGTGCGGTGGGATCACTGATGTATGCTATGGTTTGCACTAGGACTGACTTAGCCTATGCAGTAAGTTCGGTAAGTCAATTCATGTCAAATCCAGAAAATCAGCATTGGGAGGCGTTGAAGTGGATTCTGCGTTATCTACGAGGGACTGCAAAGGTGGGCCTATTGTTTCAGTCTTTGGAGGATAAGGGGTCCAAGAAACTACAGGGATACGTCGATGTAGATTACGCAGGCAACCTTGATCAGCGGAGGTCGACGATGGGGTATGTATTCACAGTTTTTAACTGTGTCATTTGGAAGGCTGAGTTACAGGAAACTATGGCTCTTTCGACGACTGAGGCGGAGTACATAGTTGCAGTTGAGGCATCGAAGGAAGCTCTATGGTTGCGGGGTTTGGTCAGGATGTTTGACATCATCCAGGATTCAGTATCTATAAATTGTGACAGTCAGAGCGCGATTCATCTTGCGAAGGATCAGAAGTATCACAAGCAGACGAAACACATTGACATCAGGTATCACAAGATCCGAGTATGGATTGATAGGGAAAAAGTTATCGAATTGGTGAAGATCGGTACAAAGAAGAATCTTGCGGATATGATGACAAATGTCATTCCAGTGGAGAAGTTCAAAGCATCTCTGGACTTCATCCACGTTCTTCAGAAGTAACTTTGGAGAAATACTCTTGGGAGGGAGTTGTATAAAGTGGGGGTTGATTTTGAAAAATCTTCGCGAATGACTGATTCAATGTGATGTGAGTCAGTGTGGAGATTGCTGAGTTCATGATGACTCAAATCTGTTGAGAAGTATGATTGAGTTTGGACTCTAATTAGGATTAGTTATACTATCCTAATTAGGAGTAGATTGAAGGAATTAATTGAATTAAAAAATCCATTTAGGATTCAAGTTAGAGTTATAATAGGATTGAGCAAAATCAATCTCTATATATATTGTATCAATCCATGGGTTTAAAAACAAGAACAAAAAAGAGTGATCTATATTCCACCTTTGTTAGGGGTGTATAGTTTCAACCTCTTGTAATCTCTTCTAAAAAAAAAGATCTTCTCCCTTCTCCCCGTGGACGTACACGGATCATCTTGATCGCGCGGAACCGCATTAAATTTTGTTGTTTGCTGTTTATCTTGATTGCTGGGTAGATTTAGAATTTTTTGATTGTTTAAGTTTAATCTTCCGCGATTTGCATACTCCGACATCCCACAAATGACCATAACGTGCGTCCCTCAGCTTAATTATGTTTTTATGAGCTCATCGAAGGTTAAAGTAGTGGGGGTGGATTCACCCAGAACCATCCAAATTTAGTAGAACAGAGTCGGTACAGTAGGAAAAAATTAGCTGAGAAAGAATATTTACCATGAAAAATTCCTCAAGGACCCAAAATATGGGACCAATAAGGGGGACAAGTGAGGTGTCCCCCTCCTATTGGATAATGAGTTGGTCATCATTAATGATGACCAACTCATTATCCAATAGGAGGGGGACATCTCACTTGTCCCCCCTATTCCTGGCCCAACCGGTCCCCAGTTTGTAGGTTGACGGTTGCTAGGGTTCACACCATGGTTCTGCTCCCTTTTTGTGCGCTGCAGGAGCTTAAGATCAGTGTGTAGGGCTAGATAGAAATAGCATATAAAGTATTAGTCATAGTAATAATAAAATATTAGGGAACCCGTAGTAATAAGACACAGAATAAGACAGCGGCGCGATTCAACACGACATATTCTACACAAATAAAGCGTAGGGATGTCTGCTCGTAGACCAAAATGGTTTCGATAGTGGCAGCTTTTGCGCGTGTCCTATCTCCAAACCAAACCACCACCATCATCATCACCACCACCATTTCCTCTCTAATTATATAATAAACTAATACCTGTCCTATCTGAAAACAAAGATCTCGCATTCAAAAAAGGCAGAAAGCTGGGCAGAGGATCAGCCATAAATTAAAAACCCACCTTTACTCGCTCCATATTTTTGTCTATATATATGCACACAAGCTAGCCATACGACTCTTGATCGATTTCAAGACTGCTACTCATTAATTAGCGCTGCAGCAGCAGCAGCAGCAGCAGAAGGAAAAGTTTTAAGTACGGTCAGAGTGCTGGAGTCGTTGAGAGAAAGAACAAAAGAGAAGCCTGCGTGACCTGTGACCAACTTTGGAGTGATAACAAGTAAAAGGTAATTAGTAGTAGCTGGCTGGCTAGCTAGCTTTTTTAAGTATCGTTGGGATATGGAGGAGGCGGTGATGTCAGGTGGTGGTTTGATGAGTAGCAGCGGGAGAGTAGGAACCAAGTGCGGACGCTGGAACCCGACTGCTGAGCAGGTTAAGGTTCTGTCCGATCTGTTCAGTTCGGGGCTGCGGACCCCGACAACTGAGCAGATACAGATGATATCATCTCATCTGAGCTCCTTTGGGAAGATAGAGAGCAAGAACGTGTTCTACTGGTTTCAGAACCACAAGGCTCGTGAACGTCACCACCACAAGAAGCGGCGTCGAGGAGGTGGAGGAGACCTTTACTGCTGCACTACTACTGCTCTCAAAACTACTCCCGATCCCAAGAAAGATGCAAGAGGTGGGTTCGAGCTACTTTTTCTTTCTCTCGTTCTTCACGTATAAAGATAAAGATTTCATAGTTGTGAATTGGTCCGTGAAATTAAGTTGCTTCAAATTAATTCTGATTTTATGCCTGACCGTAGGCCTTCGGACTTAATTATTTTGGATGTTTTGTCATTTCCTCTCATTTTTTTATGGGAATAAAATAACTGACTTACCAATCTTTTTTCCCCCTTCTTCTTCTTCTTTATAAAAAGATAAGTTACTCTTTGGAAATAGTTCATTTAACCAACATAGTTCAACAGTTAATACCTATGCTAGCATTACGGTACGTTCAAAAACAATTTGAAAGAATCCACTCGTTATTATATATATTATAAGAGGACTAAATAAATAATGAAAGAAGATGTTTACGCTCATATTAATTAGCTGTTTATTAATTATGGCCTTAATCATATGCAGGTGCTGGTGAAGCAACCGAAGCAGCTGAAATGGTTTGGGATAGAAAGGAGAGAGAAATAGAGACGCTGGAGCTGTTCCCATTGAGTTCTTACAAGTTGCAGGAGGAGGACAAGTGGAGGTCACTTAGGAGTGAATGGAGATCAGAAATGGCATTATTCAATGCTGAGATCAACGATCCGCCACTAGACCTGCGGCTGAGCTTCCTGTAGATCGACTAAGTACGACCAGTACTAGCTAGGTGCATTCTCTCTATTGACCGCATTCTTGGCCGTTGGAGAGGAGAGGGGGGTAAAAAAAAGGGGGACGAAAGGTTGGACTATAATGCGTTTGTATCCGTTGATGAGATCAGGATGGAAAAGTAGTGCACTAAGGATCGAGTACATGCTGCAAATCTTTGTTCCACGAATTATTCCCATCTACTCATCAGTGTCTGCAGCCGCACATGCCTCTGCATGTACATAATTCCAATCTCCAACACCTTCGTCAACATTTTAATATTGAACCCTTCAGCTACCACGTACGCTTTTACTCTCTAGTACTGTTTTCACTCACAAAGTCAAACTCCCGTCGGCAAAACTTTTTACTCAGGAGCTCAAAAGTATTGTACGTACTTAATAATCTTTTTTAGAGAGCATGAATGTCAGTAATCTTTGTCAGCAGCCCGTTGATCAATTAATTCTATAGCTCATCCTGTTCAAACTTCTGAATCCCTTTAACTTCTTTCCAAATGACAAATAAGGCCAGGCTAAACAAATTGGTTTACAATTAGATTCAAGTCTGTTATGCTGTCTTTGTTGGGGATTAATATAAGACAATTTGTCACTGGTAGCTATTTTCCGAAAAGTGCATTCTCACCGCGCAGAAAATTTTGTGAATTAAAAGCTCCGATTAATTTTTGGTTTATTATCAGTTCTTCATTCTCTGTAAATATTAGTCTTCTTACTAGTTGGTACCTATAAATCTCAGACGCTAGGCCTTCCCTCAAAATAGGAATTGAAAAACAAAACAAAAAAAGTTTGAACCTTTCTTCGGTTTTCTCAATAATTAAGATGGTTGATAAATATAGATATGAGGGAATATCTTGATGATCTTGGCCGAACAGTTAATTAACAATAACAAT